AAAAAAAAAACTCAGATGGCTCACAGACTGCACTCGAGGTTCATAAGAAACGCCTTTATTCAGAGAGAGTCTCAGTTTTTCTCAAAGGTAACTCTGCCGTAAAATTTAATAGACGATTACTGAGGTATTGGAATTCAACCAATCAGCGTGCTTTACATTACAGCTGTTCGGCCGGTTAATTTGGTACCAAAAAAAAACTCATAGCGTAGGAAACTGATTTCCAGCTACGCTTTTAGGTTTCTGCATGAAAAAAATTCCCACTTTTTTCCATGGTTCCATCACGTTGCACATTAGTTTATCAGTCAGCATGTGCAATGCGATCAAACTTCCTTGGTTACTTCCCCCATAATGGAATTTTGATGTTGTGTGGCTCAGGAAAATTTATATGTTTAACTGTGGTTTACAGTGCCTTGAAATGACCTCCATTTTTTCTATGACTATGCTTGGCTTTCGCCACCAGCAATAACTGGATTCGTAAAGTTTGTTTTTTAAGTCTTTTGAGAAGAATATTTTTTGGAATCTATAGCTTAACAGCAAACTTGTGGAGATTTTTGAAGGGAAAACGTTGATATTGAGTTGTGGTTCAAATGTGCAATTAGGAGTAAATAAATGATTGTATTTGTTGATTGAAACTGATACTCGTTAAGTGCAGCTCACAACAGTAAAAACTTTTACTTATTTGTTCACTTAACTCAGCTGTAACGTCGTCAAAACTAGCAGTAATGTAACCCAACAATTTTATTGTTAATGAGGCTTGAAACTTCCTCAGTGCTCAACTGTTTCTTAAGTGATGCTTTAAAGTTTTACGATACGGCTAATACCGGACTGAGATTCTCCTAAACTGACCTCAAAATCACTGCAGTTCTTGTTTTCAAAAAGCATTCTGATTTTTTTTTCTTCTCTTTTCTTCTTATCTTAGTAAAACGCTATGACTTGTTGCAATAAATTTCACTGCTGCTTACATCACAAAATCTCTAGACCATTTTTTTTTTATAGAGTGTAATGCCGAATTCGATATAACGAATAGCGATTTGGTATGGTTCTGAAAGTTTCAAGAGCCGATGAACAATAAAATAACTTCAATGAGTTCACCAACGATATACTTTTGAAAGATATGTCTGGTTTTCTGTAATTAATGATGTTCAACATTAAGACATTGGTCACTTACAGAAATTATATAGTATTTCTAAACCATTGACTGTAATTTAGTAGCTTTTAACTGTAGAATTCCTAAACAACAAACCTGTTACCCGTTTAGACATTCAAACCATCCTGCAGTTATGCAAAGGGAACTCAATTTCATTCTCAACAGAAGCTTAATTTAACAGTGACACCTTCCAATTAATGAGCAATTTAATTACGTATTTTTTAATGAGAGGATATTTATTTTGAGAGTAAGAGGTATAGTACGCTAACAGTCAGCGGCGAATAAATACATACTGCTTTATATGGCAAGGAGAATGAGAAATGTAGTTGTATCTATGCTGGAAAGAACTATATCTGAAGAGAAAATCCATATCTATCTTAGTTCCACTACCAGAGGGCTCAAGCTTTTTTTTAGTCCAGTTTCTCCTGCTATTAACACTTAAGTAACTAAAAGTAGAATTGTTAAGATACATACTGCTTTATGTGGCAAGGAGAATGAGAAATGTAGTTGTATCTATGCTGGAAAGAACTATATCTGAAGAGAAAATCCATATCTATCTTAGTTCCACTACCAGAGGGCTCAAGCTTTTTTTTAGTCCAGTTTCTCCTGCTATTAACACTTAAGTAACTAAAAGTAGAATTTTTTTCTAAACGAGTTTTTTGAGTCCCAATAGGAAAACCAAATTACCAACAAACAACCGATGTTGAAGCCGCATATTGGATCTTCATTTTTCTTTATCAAGTAAGGAAAGTATTGTATGGTTCTTTTTCTGGGTTAACCATTATTAGTCGCTGTATTTTGGAAACTATTAATCAGCAGAATTGAGTAAAACGTTAGCGAAATGATGGCAATAACTTGATAAAAATTATCAGTAACGAAATGATTAGGGAGGAAGATTGTGTCGCTGAAGTCCTGATATTTTACTGCCAAATGGACGAGGACAGGCCGCCTTTACCTGAGAATATTACAATTACACTTTACAACATCTTTTTCTGCAGTATCCGCTTAGTTGCATAGAAAGAATCAATAACTGATCAGCCAAAAGAATGTATGTGAAGTCGAGGAAACGTTACTTAGGAACTGGTCCGTGATAGAAATGACTTAATGCGTATCAACAAATTTCGTCTTTTTGTTGAATTTCCTTTTTTATCCCAACTTGAATTGTCTTTGAAACTGTTGTGATAGTTATATTCAAAATCTTCGTACGAAGATACGGGTAACTTGGTTCAAATTGGCGCTCAACCTTTTCATTGGAACCAATCCCATTGCGCTTCTCCTCGAATTATTAAACTAAAGCGGGAAAAACTGTTGAACAAAGTCCATAATTGATGCTTTTGAAAGAAAAAGGATATTGCAGTATAGGATTGCTCAATTATTTGAACAATTTTCAAACTTGACATGGTTACTGATACTGGCGATCAGGAGTTAATATCTGAGGACGAGAAAGCGCTCTATGATCGGCAGATACGTTTATGGGGATTGGAAGCACAAAACAGGTTTCATTTCATTTAATTCATTTTTGATGACCTCTCGTTACTGGCAAAAGATATTAATCTTAACATGGAAATTTCTCCCATTGTTTTTATCATATTTTTCTAGACAACTGTTTATGCATAACTAAATGGTATTACACTGCGTTCCAATCTGCGAAATTGTAGTATTGAGAACCACCTTCTTCTTGATTCTTTTTTAAGCAGTGAGTGAATTTCTTGGTGTATAGTGAACGAATTCTTTAATTTCTTAGTCGCTATTTCGAATGAACCGTGGCGTTTTTGTTGTCACTGCATGACTTTCTTTCCTGATCTGTATGAAAACTTCTGTATTCTTAAAGCTTTCAAGACATTTTTGACGTATTTGTTTGACTTTCTTTTAGAGTTTCAAGCGTAGTTGTTAGTGTGAACAAAGCATTCCATAAGTGATGTGGTTTCGCTGTTTTGATTACACTTCGGAATTTAGCGTGTGAAATTTCATCGGACACTTTCACTCTGAACATGGAGTTACACTGAAAAATAAACTTGAACTAAAACTGGTTGTAGGAAAATTAATTTGAGAGTGTCCAAACTTAAAGAAATAGCAGGTTTTTGTAGGGTATATCTTGACATTTGCTTCTTCTAGCGCAGTATGTAGTAAATTATTTCTTAATGTTCTATATTCACAAGCTTAATGAAAGTACCACTGTTTTTGAACTCGAGTGGATGAGCGAAATATTTTCTAACAAAAAGCTAAGCGAAAATTGCTGGGATTTTACTTTTTCACAACTTTGTTAAGTTACCTAATTGCAGAGAATTGCTTCAATTTTTGTCATTCAATAACTGCCAATTACGGCTTAATTCATTTTCGCCTTAACACAGCTATGATCTACTGTTCTACTGCTCAGATGCTTTTCACGTAATAATGCAACTGTAGATTCAGTTTCATCGGGGGGACTAAAGGAAAGCTGAGTTAGAATGAGGGACATCTTTCTCTTTGAAAGTTTCACTATTTAATTTTTGGATTTTTGAGAGATTTTGGGCCCACTTTTTATGAGGTTATCGTTTTTCGAGAAAACCGTCATTACTCTTCTTTTCAGAATTCGTAATTCGAAGGTGTTGCTTGCTGGTCTGACTGGTTGCGGTGCTGAAATTGCGAAGAACTTGGTTTTGGCGGGATTGAAATCACTGACTTTACTTGACAGTCAGAAGGCTAGAATTTATAGTCTCTAGTGTAATAGTACCTAAAAAAGCTTTATCGTTTTGCTTCAGGTAACGGAAGATGACAAGTGCTGCCAGTTTTTGATTTCTGAAGATTCCATCGGTCAAAACGTAGGTAGCAGGGTTCCTTCTTTGATAAAGCATTAGGATTTTTTGACAGAACGAACTTGTTTTTTGCTAAATCTCGAGTCGGTTTTTCAAATCACTAGATGTTGATACTAATATTTTTCTTCATATTTTTAGTTTCTAAGTGACTAGTTAAAAAAAAATTTGATTTGTGATATTTTGTTAATCTTTTTTTCTCTTGGTGAAGCACGCAGTGTATAGTTTCTTCGTTGGTAATTTTTTGATGTTATTGTGTATTCTCCCAAAGTTTTTAACCAAAATTTTGAGGTTGACTGCGACTAAAGAGGCAAACTGCTACAGACTATCATTTGCGTAAACACAATGTCCACATTTGTTTTATTAAATAAACATGTATGGAGAAATTGCAGAGGGCGGATGCTACAAAATTACGCTGTCAGGTGTTAAATCCGAATGTTGAACTCTCAGTTGACAAAGAGGACTTAGCGACAAAGGAAGAAACGTTTTTCCGCGCCTTTGACCTGGTTATCCTTGTCGATCAGAAATATTCGCTTGTTGAGAAAGTCAACGAGATCTGTAGGAAGCTTCGAATAAGGTAGTTAAAAGAAGAGGAGATTTCTCTTTCCTTCTCTGATATCGCATTTTGAGTAGCTTGCCGTATTTCCTTTGTCTATTTTCTTTAATCGCATGGTTTTTCAAGGTAGAAGAGACATGTGAATGGGTAGCTGAAGGACTTAGCAGTCTAAGAAAGTTTTTCTTCTTTGTTTGCTTTATTTTTTGGTTAGAGGCATAACGATTTATTCTGGCATTTTCTATTTGTCAAACTGATATTAATTAGGTTCGAAGCTGCAGGCGTCTTTGGCTGGGTCGGTTACGGTTTCTTCGATTTCAACGATTTTGCTTTCTTAACGTAAGGTTCACTTCAAATTCTTAAATTGCGGTAGTATTTTTAATTTTATATCTTGTCTGTGTACCTGTTTCAGGAATGTTGTGAAGAGACATGCCTACCATATAGATGCTGGTTCCGGTAGTCAGCCCAGTGCAAGTGTGCTTGAAAAAAATGCTCCTCCAGCGGACCAGTCGGGTGACGCTAGAGGTACTTTAGGGCCTGTGATTGTTGATGACGATGAGGAGAGAGTAAAAAAGGTCTGAGTTTTTTTTGAAACTAGTTTTTTATTTTCTAAATTTGTGGTAGAAAGCCACTCCGCAAGTTTTTTTTTTAAATATCATTAGTTAAAGTTAGAGAATCTTAAAATTACTACTTTTTCATTATTCTCACTGAAAAGCTTATCCCAATTAAAACGAAAAAAAGTACTCCATACGTTAGAAAATAGAACAGTGTTTAGTCATTAGTAGTTTTTCAAATTCGATCTTGGAATTTTTGCAGAATATGTCTTTCGCTAGTTGGTCGTCCACTTTGAACGTAGATTGGTCCCACAAGAAATTTATTAGGCTGGCTTCGCGCGTTCTGCCGAATGTGTATTTTCCAGTAAGAGGTAAGTTTGAAACATTCTCATCTTTACCCTTCGTTAGCTATGACTCTTTGGATAATTGACTTATGAACCAAATAACTTACTGTGTTTCAGCATTATTGAGAGTATATGATGGCAATTCTACAGTGGATACAAATATGGTACTTGATCTGTGGAGGAAAGAGGTGGAAAAATGTGGTCGAGATCCGACAGAACTAGTGGACCAGCAAGAAGCTTCCTAGTAAATTTTTCCGTGAATCTTATGTATTTTTTATATTTGATTTAAAAGAAATTGTTTTAGTTTGATTGGGCCACAGTTCAGTCCCGCTTGCGCAATCGTTGGTGCTGTAGTTGCACAGGAGGCTATAAAGGTGGTTTATTAAAACCTAGCTTTGGCTTCATTTGTAAAATAGAGCTCCTGGCTTTTAACGAGTAGTTTTTCAAACACCGAGCTCTTTCAAAAAATTTTTCAGCCAAAAAAGTGCGTTAGGGAAATAATTCCACTTTAGTGCGTATAATTTAGGCATTATCACAGAATGCGATTCCGCTACAAAATCTTTTCGTATATTCCGCCTATAGCTCATCTGGTGTTGTGTGCTACTTACCTCCTGAGATTTAAAAACTTGTCAGTTGTTGGCTTGCGGTACTCTGTTAGCTTTGTTGACTGGATTATCACTTCGTATTAAAATCAAAAAGTAATGTGAAGTATTGTTTCCTTTTCTAGATCTCTCCAGCATTCTTTTTACATTTTATTCCTACATTCGGATGCATTTCGGATGCATCAGTTTAGAATGTAAATAAAACTGTTCACCAGCAGCAAGCATGGGAAGAAAAAGAATGTCCAGCGTTACAGTTACCTATATAGTTATCTCTTGGACATTACAAAATGATGTGATGTTGTCTTCTAATGAACTTTTTTTTTTATTTCTGAAGTAATACCGCTTAACACAGCAGTTTGTTACCAAATCCATCTGCTTGGTTTTTTTAAAGATCTGTTCAGGCGAGAACGGAAGTCCCCTAGAGAGAAGGAACCAGATGTTATAGAAGAAAGTAGTAAGTAAAGAAACCGAGTATTAGTATAGGCGTCCAGGTTTTGAAAAAACATTTAAGTGCTTTATTCGCTCGTGGAGGAGTCGAGTTTCTGTACACGACTCACCAAAGTCTGAGTTCTCAGTACAGTCGTATTAATTATAAGTCTGAAGTTCCGTGGGGTTTCCCAACAGCGGAAACTGATTTAATGCGCTGTCTCTTGGACGGGACGATTTAGAGTCCCAAGAAGTCTATCCGCGGTTCGTTCAGGGAGTTTCTCGCTTGCTTTTAGAGAAATCCTTTCAATTCAAAAAGGAAAGTTAAAGTATTTCGCCTAAAAGGTTAAAAAAATGGACAACAGTTGCGTCTGAAGAAATGAAGCAGAGCAGCTATGAACTGTGAAAAATTACACTAATCTATGGGAAGAAGCGGGTCAGAACAGAATCGTTGCAGCGAGAGGTCAAGGTAGATTGAGGAATGGTGAAATAAAGTAAAGGAAATCTACTGGATGAAGTGATAACAGGTACAAACGTGGTAGTCAGTCGGCACTGTCCGGCAACAAACACCCGTAAGCGTCGGGAAAGAAAACCAAGTGTTTCGGACTGCTATACGTTTCAAAACAAGTATTACTTATAGGACAGTAAAAGAAAGAAATTTAGCTTTTCAACCGTTAGTTCGGTAATTCTGTTCACCAGCTGGCAAAGCATAATCTTTCCTGTAAATGAGTAGTAAATTTCGCCTTTTTCACTACAAAATATCGAAAGGTATACATCTCTCCTTTGAAGAAAACTACTGCCTTTTTCCTTAATGTAACGCAAAACTAATACGGGGCACCTGAGCATATGACTGT